GGGAAAGCTTTTTATGTTTCCCATACATCATAGAACTTCTATGTTCCCCCACTTTATTATCACTCTTTCTATCTTTGTTTTTTGAATGATACTAATTTTGTGAAATTTAGAGCTATGAAGGTTTGATAGCTGTTTTTTTATGTGAAATTTGTAAAAAGTGGTGTCTTTTTTATTTTTAAGATGTCTTGGAGTTTAGTAGTTCATGCCATTTTATGGAAATTTGGAGTTGAGTATTGTTTTCTATGTTACTTTTTTTAATCCATTTTTGGAGGGCTTGTTGCTTTTTGGTGAAATCTTTGGATTACTATTTTTTTTGTGATATTTGGAGATTAGTAGTGTTTCTATGCAATTTTTAGAATCCATTAGGCATAGGATTGCTTCCATTTTTTCTTGAATATGAAAGTTGAGGTAATGGTTTCATGATTGTTTTTCGGACCCATTGAGGGGAAAATTCATTTTACGAATTTTGAACTGGTTATCTTTGCCATTTTTTGTGAATATCAGGGCCAAGCAATATTTTTTAGTTAATTTGTGGATCATTGGAAACTTTTTTTTGGTTGAAGCTTTGAACTAATAGTATTTCTTTTGTCATTTTAAGGATCCATGTTGATAGGAGATTCTTTTGTCATTTTCAATTGGTTATTGAGCTAATGTATATCCTAAATTTTTAATGACTATATTAGTTTGAATGACAATACAAGAAGTCAAAGCAGATGCCATAACTTTAAGAACAAGACCTTTGAACTAATATTATTTATTTTTTCATTTTAAGGATCCATGTTGATCGGGGATTCTTTTGTCATTTCAATTGGTTTCCATTTTCAATTGGTTACCGAGCGAATGTATATCTTAAATCTTCGATGACTATATCAGTTTGGATGACAATGCAAGAAGTCAATGCAGAGGCCATAACTTTACAAACAAGACTGGAGTTTTTTGTACAAGCGCAATGGTCAACCCTCAAGCTCATCATCTCATAAATTTTTTGCAAGCCCGATGCTTAATAATTACGCTCATTATCTTAGAAATTTTTTGCAAGCCCAATGCTCAACAATCAAGCTCATCATCTTAGAAAGTTTTTGCAACCCCAATGCTAGTGGGGGAGACTTTATCTTGGAATAGAGCTTCGAAATGGAATTTTTGTATAGCTTCCATATATTGCAAATCCATATTGCAAGTAAAATTTTGCATAGTTTCAAAGTGCATGTTGAATATCTTCAAATGGAATTTTTGTATAGCTTAATTCGTCACACTTCTTAGACCATGGCATCCTATCCACCCATTCAAGAAATTTGATCTGGGTGATATTTTTTAGGCTTGACGTCTTTTGCTGTTTTTTAAATTGAAATTAATGAAGACATTGTGAAATTGATTAATGAAATCAATATTTTTTTTCTATGCTTTCCAATACTCAGATTATAGTTTTGGTGGGAACTTTGTGGTGGAATGGTTGATGGGAAAGGATACTTTTGATAGCCAATTGAACCAAAGCTTTCTTCTCTCTAATCTCTCGTCTCTCTATGAACTAGCAGGGAAGTCCCAGTAATCTTTCCTAACCCAACTCCCTTATTGCAACTTGAGGCCAATTCATAGGCCTGTCCTCCATAACCATGATAATATGATTTCTAAAAGCCTTTAACCATGCTGATACTATGATCCAAGTACTGGGTGACCATGTTCATCATTGCCCCTATCAGGGACACCCTCTTTGCCAAATACAAACTAAAGTTCACAGTAGGATTGATGTGCCCACCTATTTAGAGAGTGTGAGACAATCCTAAAACTTAAAAAAAAAAAACAAAAAAAAAAAAGAAAACGTTTTACCTTTGATGGTCCATACAAATAATTTGGTCCTTAAGACCATCATTTTTTTTTACTCTTTTTACCTTGACCTTTTGTTTCTTGTGCCACGTCCTATAGGGTCCTCTAGGGACGTGGGCTTCAAGTGTTAATGTAACACCTATTAAACACCTCATGTACTCATGTATGATGTGGGTTAATAATATATTATATAATATTTTTTTTATGTTTTAAAAGAGGAGAACGAGTTGGATTCTCTCTCTACAAAAATACTCTCTCTTACGCCCCTCTCTCTCAGTAACGTTGAGCCCTCTTTGTGAATTAAATAACGCAGTGAACTCCTTCTCTCTAGCCGAATTTTACCGAAAGTTTCCTCTCAAATATTATAGGTAAATGATCTCATTATCTTGAAAAAATAGTATGTTCACCATTTTTATACTGTAATTTTATGCCCATATGGTATCATTTTATTTCTGTTAAAATTATTATTATTAGAAATTTAGACATTGTAAATTATTAAACATAAAATTTCTGCCTATTATTATGACTTTTAGACAATGTAAAATTTATGTGTAAGTGATGTCATTTATGGTAAAATCATTATGTGAAAAATCGATATTTCAACAATTAATTATAATACTGCCAATACTGTGAGATTTACGTAATTTTGTATTTAATTGTATTTTTGTTTGTCTATGAATTTTAGATATCATAAGTTTTACCTATTCCTGTAAAATAATTAAGTACGAAATTACATTCCATAAAATTGTGATATTTATGTGTTCAACCTTGGATTTCTATAATTGATAATCGATTGCCTATTGGATTTCATTTCAAATATACATGTTGATCTGCTACCTTTCTGCAATTTTTATCCAAATTGTTTAATTTGTTATTTACAAATATTTCAATGAAAGTAATTGTTTAAATTGCTTCAAGTGAATTCTTGTTAATGATTTCATTGATACTTTGAATATACGATGTTGATGCTTTCTGATGTTAAAAAGTTTCTGAGATAATTTAAGTATGTGTGGACCTATCCGGGACGCCGATAGGGACTATTTGGACTCATCAGGTACGCCGGTGAGATACGTTCAGCTCTGCAGGGATTGTTTGGACCTATCCGGTTATGCCGCTAGGGACTATCTGGACTCATCGGGATGCCGGTGAGGTATGTTTGGACATGCAGGAATTGTTTGGACCTATCTGGTTACTTCGGTAGGGATTATTTGGACTCATCTGGGACACCAGTGAGGTATGTTTGGACCTGCAAGGATTGTTTGGACCCATCCAAGATGCTGGTGGGGTATATAGGTGACATATTTGGGACGCTAGTAGAGTATTTTGTGAAATCCTTTGAGTTATGCATTGCTGTTAAAATATTTATATGCATTTCAATCATTTGGATTATATTTAATTGTGCAATTCTGAAAGTGAAATTGTTATCCATAAATGCTTTTTGCTCCCATTGTTTCTAATAGACCTTCCTTTTTGAAAATGCTTACATCTCCCGACTATGATTATTTTTTAGGACTATAATGATAATTTACTGAGTAGCCAAACTCATCAAACTATGGTAAAAAATTTTCAGGGTAATTGCAGCTTCCCTAGTTGAAGGCACAACATGGCCAACTTTGGGAGAAGTCATCGTTATGATGAAATTTTCTCTTTGTGACTTTTGTTCAAATTCACTATTGTAAATTTTGTCCTATCAATAGATGTATATCTAAACTTTCATGTTAATACTAGTTATGAGTAGACTTTGTACAAACTCTTAGAAATGGAAAAATCTGTTTTAGTGCAATAAATAGTGAAGTAGAAAAATTTCGTTTTGTTAAAGATAGACTGTTATATCTCAGGGATTCCAGTATTATAAATCTTGGGTTGTGACAGAGCGAAAATGCAGAAATTTAGAAAGAGAGATGATTACACCCAATAGGTCATTCAAAAGAGAGAGAGAGAGAGAGAGAGTGCAATTTATTTAGACATGAAGGTCAGAAAAAATGGATTTCCCAACTACATCTCGTGAAGAAGTCATGTGATGAGAGAGCAAACTAGACGGTAAAAAATTTAGATAGAGAAAAATACAATTATGCAAGAGACAGATGGAGACATAGAGAGATTTTCTGAAATTTGAATAAGGAATGCTGAGATTTTCAACCACTGCCATGGTAGAGAGAAACAGAATAAAGGTGCTACAGGTCAAAAAGTCAATCTGTAGTGTCTCTTCCAGCTGGTTTTAGAGATACAAAGAGCAATTTTAGAGAGAAAAAAGAAAAATGAGTCTGCAACAATTGACTATTAATTTCCTCGATTACAAAAGAGGAAGCTACTCCACAGGTCTCTTCTTTCCTTAAATTACAAAGAAGAGGCATTATTGACACACTACAAGTCCCTTCCCCAAATTAAAAAAAAAAAAATGTGTTCCCCAAATCAAAACAGACTGATCACTCTTCAAAATAAAATTATGAAGACTCCCATCTTAATCATATAAAGTACAACAATGAAAAGCGTCTTCAAAACAAATTTCCCTCCACCCTCAAAACAGAGCCCCTGGTTCAAGAAGAAAATACAATGGGCGAGACCCAAGGGTCATCAAGGCCCTTCAAAGCGGCAATTTGATTGTTGATCTTTTGGTATGAATGTCACAAGGCAATGTACATGAGCCACTTAGCCTCTCACAAGAGGCACTGCTACCACCAGCATCACCAAAGCTTCCGTTTATGTAGGGAAGAGAGTATAGAGAGAGAAGAAAAAATAAACAAGAAGGAAGAGAAAAGAAATATTTTAATTATTTCTAATCGTTGTTTGAGGAGGGGCATTTTTGTGTTAAATTCCAATTCTTAAGTGACTTGGAGGTTGATGAAATCGAAAGCAGCCCTAGGATGCGTTCCAGATGCATCGTCACCATGTACAAATTTATAGAGCAATGAGTCAGGATGTAAGGGATCGTCTGATGCAAAGTAGAATACTACCCTATGGTGCTTCCACCCTGATGTTTCAAGAGATTAAAAGTAAGAAAACTATTATTGTTGTATTACGATCACAAGAAAGTAAAAAAAAACTAACATTGTAGACAATGAGATACAATGCTTAGGCCTGAGAATGTTTTGCATACATATCTATCAAAGATGATCCTCTAAAGACATCAAGATTGAAACCATTTAGGCTAACATATTTATGTATCTCGCTCCCTAAATCAAAGCTCTCTAGGTGTGCTCAAGCTGAGATCACTGTAGCTATGGTTACTGCATTAGGGTTCACAACTTTGACCCCCATCTCTTTGAACACATATGCCTCTTTAAACCTTCCCTTTTTGAAAATCTAGAGGTCATGGTGGTCCAAAAAACCAAATCCTTATGACTCATTTCATCAAAGAGTGAAGCTGCTTTTTCTATATCACCACCCTTTGAGTAGCCACCAATCAAAGCTTCATGGTTTATCTCAGGCATGGCATCAAAGAGTTCTTGAGCAAAACTCAATTCACCAATCCTGCAATGACTTGAAATCATTGCGGTAAAAGTGATTGCATCCCTAGCCTCCATTTCATTAAACACCTTATGAGCATTTCCAATCTCGCTACAATTTGAGTACAAATCGTTCAGCACAGTTTTAACAAAGGCCTTAGAATTCAAACACCATTTCACAAAATTCACAAAATTAGTAGCATTCAAGAAACAAAGATAGAGAGAGTTATAATAAACAGCTCTAAATTTTACAAATAATGCTAGAGAAAGAGAGTAAAGAGCTATAAATTTCACAAATGATGCTACAGAGATTACTTTAAAACATATACACAAGCAAACACACATCTAAAATTAAATTAAAAAAAATTGAAAAATATCAAAACTGGGATATGCAAATTAACGACGAAGATGAGAGCCTTGGGTGCTGACCTAGAGGCCTGGGCACGACGAAGAGTAGATCCTGTTTTCGGGATGACCATGTTGCCTCTTGCCCGCCTTTGGACTCTCTCTTTCTAGGATCTTCCTGCCCTAATTCTCTGAAAAACAAAATCTCTCTCCAACAACCTCTCTCTCCCTCTTTTAATGGTGCATGCTCTCTCTCTCCTCTCCAATAAGTCCTCTCTCCCTCTAATCTGCGTGCTCTCTCTTTCTTCCAGAAAACCCTTCGGTTGGGATGTTTTCATGCATTTCTTCAAGAGAGAGAAAATGAGGTCACGGGGTGTTGGTAATGGAGAACGGATAATGGAGATAACAGATTTTTGAAAGTGGGTTTTAGTCCCTCTGATCTGCATGCTCTCTCTCCTACAAGAAACCCTCTCTCCTTCTGATCTGCATGCTCTTTCTCTCCTCCAAGAAACCCTATTTCCCCTTCTTCTCTGGTGCGCTCTCTCTCCCTAAAAATGGGTTTCTCTCTCTCGCCCTAGTATGGACTTATTTCAAAATGGGTTACCGGTTGACTTGTGACCCCATCTTGTGACAACTCGAGGGAATGAATGTCAGCCCTCCATTTTAAATCAACACCTAAACGGGTGAGAGAACATAGAACTTCTATGATGTAGGGGGAACATGGAAAGCTTTCCTTTCTACACAACCCTTTCTTATTCACTTTTATGTGATTTTAAGCCAACATGGCCGACAATGTGTAGGAAGGAGGCCACAAATTTAGATCGGTTTGTTTTTTAAGCATTGTACAAAGGAATCCACATCTCAATCAAATTTTGGTTGATTAAATTCAAAGCATAAATAAAAGATTTCATCAAAAGACTCGCGTTTGACTATAAACAACAATGCATCAACCTTAAACCATAAAGTAATATGCAAGTCAAAAATCCGTTTGTAAATGTTGCTATGATATCAAAAAATCCTATAATTAATCATATCGACTTTAAGATGTATGAGTATTTTAAAAGAAAAAAAATGATTTTATGACCTAAAATTAGTGCATCTTGTAACATATTATCTAAACCATCTATTTAAAAAAAATTTAGTGTTTATAGATCTACTTGATCTACATCATTTTGCCTTAAATTTCATATTTAGAGGTAAAACTAGGCTTTTAGGAATCATAAGATTTTCGAGCTCCAGAACTACATGTTTTCGTTTAAGTTTGATAGCTTATAGAAATTGCACCCTTTTAAAAATAGATTTGAATGTAGATAACATCATTTACATGTCCATTTTGGTAGCTTAATGTCTTTTCATACAAATCAATATGGGGAAAAGATTTGTCGCTCCTGCACGAGTGTATTGTGCATTTATTCCCTTGGGGTAAAACTCATGTTAGGAAAAAATTTTGAACCCTAAGTTTTTGGGACGTAGACTATATAACCTAATAACCAACCTCAAAGAAATATAAAATTGAATAAGACTATTTGTGTGACTCAAAAAATTAAGTTCTCAAGATTGAACAAGAACCTACAATTTTCGAAGGGCGGATCTAGGTGTTTAGGAACGGTAGATGTAATTTTTCCTTGAAAATAATCATCTGATGATAGGTATGTTTATAGCCAAATCCTAATAAGATTTATGCATGAAATTCTTTATGATTTATGCTTTGAATTAGTTAATTTAATAAATGTAGAGACGGTTTAATTACAATTCGGAAACGAGTTAGTCTTGAGAGACCAATTTCTCTTCAGATCATCGATAGTGCCATCTCATATTTTGAGGCAAAACATATATTTCTAAGATAATTAAAAGAAATAAAAAAAAGTAAAATATTCTTACTAGAGCCGGGCCTATTCACCCTATAAACCTGAAACACATAGTTGGGAGCTTTTTGTAGACCGAGGTTTAGGTTTATACCCTTGTCTTCTCATTCTTGAAAGAATTTGTTGAAATTATTGTCGGAGTGAAATTGATAAGGTGAATTAATCTTCCGGGGCTTAGGTGCCAAGACCTAGGGTTTAAGCTTACTCAAGGTTTTAGGGTTTGATTCTCCTAAGGCTAGGGTTTCTCTTCGATCTAATTTCTCCAAGATTTTGTGAACTCTCTTGAATTCCTATGAATTGTCCTGAATTTCTGAACTTTCTGATATGAACTTATAACCCAAAAAAAGGCCCTTTTATATGTTGATTTAAACAGTTTCAAACGTATTTGGATCATTCGTGAACGTAATTACTTTAGACCGTTGGATATATCATGACATGATTTGCGTCACAGTCTTCATGGCACCAAGCATCTCTAACTCTTCACGCCTTGTTTTTGGGGCTACTTCGATCTTATATTGATTTGAGCCTATTTGGAAGATATCTAACATGATTAGAACTCGAGACAGTTTTAATATCATTTGAATTCTAATTTTACTATCGTAAATTGATTTTGTATAATTTTAGGAAAAAAAAAGAAAAAAGTAAACGCCTATTTCTAATATTATAATTCCAAATAACCTCCCTCACTCTCTAGCAGCTTTCCCTAAATACTTATCCCTCTCTCATCTCGTGAACCTCAAAGTAAGTTAAAGGGGCATCATAAACTCGATATTTATGAGGAGGTTATTAGAAAATAAAAAGTAAATTTTGTAATTTGGACGATACAAAAGATAAAGAGGGGGTTAAACGTTTTTTTTGTTTAACTTTCGGGGTTTCATATGATATTTATAGGACTAGGAGGTTCTTTGAAATTATAATTTTATAGAGGGGGTTTATGCGATTATTTCATAATTTTAATATATTTAAGAGTCCTAATAGATTTCATTTCAGGGTTTTATAAGGAATATGTGCCATGGTTAGGGCATATAGACTGCAGGTACAGGTACAGGTACACTAAGGCTTAGTATGCCCAATAGCTTATTAGATTATTTTGGTCTATTTTTTTTACGGTTTTAGGAAATTATTGGTTTACACTCAAGATTTAAGGTTTTACTATATTTTAGGTTTTCAAGCTAAGGAACTTAGAAATACAACCAATTCAAAATGGGTGTATAGAGAGATGGATCCCAAAACTCTAGTTCAAAAAAATTCTGCCTTGCACTTTTTGCCTGAGTGAGTTGTTGCATATGCTCCCGCAGGAGCATCTTATACGTGTGCATTAATGTATTGCACAAATGTAAGAAGAGATTAAAGATTAAATAAATATTCAATTAATTATCTAGAATATATTTTACGTATAGTCACTATTCCAAGGTAGTCGAAAGTTATGTCGAAGTAACAAAGTCTGTAAACATTGAAAAGGATAACATAATAGGTATAAGTTTGAAAACATTGGAATGAGATAACAAAAGGGACATAACTTGTTAAAAATATTAAAATTTTTATAATTAATTCAAGTAAATTTCATCATCTTATATAAATAATTCTTTAATATATGGTTTTGTGCTCCCTATTCTCTTAAAAAAAGAAAAAAAGAGAGTAAAATGTTCAAGTATTTAAAAATTCTCATCCTATATAAATAATTCTTCACTATATGGTTTTGTACTCCCTATTCTCTTAAAAAAAAAGAGAGTAAAATGTTCAAGTATTTAAAAATTCAATAAAAAAATATTAAACTTACTTGTAAATTTTCTTTAAAAGATGAATTAAATGGAATGACATCACGAAATTTTAAAAACTTTTAAAAATTCTTAAATATAGAGAAATTAGCCATAAATGCTATTAAAATATTAAAAATAGAATTAAATGTATAAAAGGTTTTAAACGGGTATTCCTTATATAAATGCAACTTTTTTTATTTTAGTTATGCAATAAATCATATTACAAAATTCTAGAACATTGTTAGAAAAGTAGGCATAATTTATGAGAAGTGTTTCGAAATGCAAAATGAAATTTTTTGAAATTATTTACAAACTATCACATTTTTATGGAAAATAGCATTAATTTTTATATTTTAATTTTTTTTAAGATAGATGATGAGTCAATTAAGAAAGTGTTTTGAAAATAGTTATCCGTGTTTTGAAAATAGTTATCCCTAAATAATTATTGGAAAGGGGCTATCATTTAGGTTGATTTAAGAAAAAAGCTTTTGCTAAAAATCTAATTCCAATAAAATCTTATTGGCAACAATAGTCCCCTATTTATTTAATTTAACAACAGTCATTTATGACATGAGATTTCAACCCAAGTGAATTAGGTCTTAAGAGGACGTTCATTTAGTGTCACTTTTATTAAATAGTTTTTATATTTTCTCATTATTTATGAAGTAGGAAAAGAATGTCATAAGGTTTCATTCCATAGTGGATCAAGACAAAGAAAAGTCTAATTTTATGAATTCATTAATAAAATTCATTAACAAGGTTCATATTGACCCAACCCTTTCTTTGTCTTGGGCGCATCATCATCGTCTTCATCATAGCTTTTTTTCAACTATTTAGGGTCGGCTATGCGAATCTTGGCCCACCATTCTACTCTATCAAGTGTTATACCCTCTGTGAGGTCATAAGTCTCCATATCTTCTATAACTAATTCAAACAATGTCCTTTTGGGCATGCTCCTTGCCTTTTTAGAGCCTTCCACCTGAACTAACTCGTAGATGTTGGGCCCCCACATGCCAGAGCCCTGGGTGGAGCAAATAAATATATTAACTAACTTGGTCAAGACCACTAAGAAAACTATGAAAAATGCAATGTCTAAATGGATTTTCCATAGTGGTATCCCCTTCCACGAAGCATTGTTAATGAGTTGGGACCGTACAGGCCCGATCCTAGTTTGGCCCAACAAATTTGTTTCAAGCATGGCTTGGAGCCTCGCCTGAATATATAGTAGCAAGGCCCAAACCCAGCTCGGGCTTGAAAATCAGGCTGGGCCGGGGGGAAACCTTATATAAATACAAAAATAATAAATATTAGCACATGCACACATGTGTGTATATGTGTATAGACACACATAGACATGCATATATGTGTGTGTGTGTGTTTGTACTTCGAAAAGTTTAAACTGGGCTTGGGCCATGCCAGTGCAGGCTAGCCAGAAAGTATATTGGGCCTCCCATAGCGCGGTCAAGAACATGAGGCTTGAAACCCACCCAAGTAAGGTCCAGCGTGAATGCATGCGGGCTGGCCCGATCTGCTAACAACCCTATTTCCACGTAGTCGATAGCCGCAATTACGCATCAATGGTCGATGTGATTGCAAAAGCAGGGCCTGGAGTCAAACCCCATTAAGACAAAAAGCTTAAAGAAAATAGCAATTAAGATGCTACGTTAAACTTACTTTGCTAACGTGTGAGAGAAGCTTCAATACATTCCAATGGTTGCATACCTTTAAGAGAAGTGGGCTGAATTCCTTCTTGCTTCAGAAGCTAGTGAACATCCATTATAATTTGAATATTAGAAAGTAGTAGTTGGAGAGGGTAATTGAGGACTATAATCTGATTAATCTAGATTACATATTGATTTGGACTCCAACTGAAGAGTGGTTAGTAGAAGTCGAGCAAGTAGTGCTCAATAAGAGGGCTTTTCTTGAAACAATGGGTGAGGAGGATGATGAAGATGAACCATGGGACTAGCCACACGAGAAACCATAATTTTAGTAATTGGAAGGAGATGTATGTCGGGAATATGTAAAGGATCTCATGGCATGGGAACGGTCATGATGATGATTATGAAGTCATCCAATTCCAACTTATAATGTACATACTAACATATGGGGTCATGAGCCCGAGCCCAGTCAACAAGAAGGTGGGAGCGAGCATGAGGTGAGAGGACCAACCTTAGGGACTTTAGTACGTAGCTGAATATATTTGGCCTGATCCCTAAAGTCCCCAAACCCCTTGTTCCTCGATGAGCTACATGATGTTCGGGTTCATGACCGTCAAGATTTTGATTACCCACCATGTTATTCTGATTAGTTTTTAGATTGTATGTTTTGACTTATTTGAATAAATTGTTGATATTTAATTAAGGGTCGTGTTAGGGTACTCCTACATATGGACTATTTCTTTATATTTTCGATATTTATTACTCTCATTTTGTAATACATTTTATTTAACACGAGCATTTTTTATCATTATGAGAGGTAGGATAAATATTTTTATAAGAAGCTAGTGGTAATTAATATTACATGTAGGTGATATCATACCTCATGTGGATGATATCATTCTCCACTATAATTAATAAATATTTTTTATTTAGAATTTTTATTTTATCCTTGATTAATTACCTAAAAATACCTATAAACAAAAAAGTTACTACAGTGTAGAGTAAGAGTATCAAGTGTCCAAAAATATTGAGTATATTAAACAAATACTCTATATGTAAGAGTGCCCTAACATAACTCTTTAATTAACTTATGAATGTCATTATTGAAATTTAAACTCTGAAATTACCATGTCACATTTAAAGGAGAAATATACATCTATTATTCATACATCTTTCCTAATTTCATTTAAACGCATAACCCTATTAAGCAATATTTTTTTTACAAATAAACTCATTTTGATTTTTAATCCGCATTTTCAATTTTAACATGTTCAATATTTTTCGATTATTTTTGTCAGCACAGTGTGGCTGATCAAGTCAAACCAAATCCTAATATGCCAATTCATTGAGTGGGAACCACATGATGGCTCATTTAGGCACCTCGCCCACCTTATAAAGGTTTTTTAAATACTGAGAGCCAAAATAATATATATTTTTTTATATTAACTAATAATCTTATTAAATAAATGAGAATACTACATATGCTCCCCTAGCACATACCCTGTCTTAATAGGTCACATGAAAAGTGCAAAGAGCGCCTAACTTTTCAAAGAAAATAAACACATCATCTTCATCATTACATTACATGCACAAAGCGTGCCCAAACATTCTCCCAAAAAATGGAAGTTCACAAAAATCGATGAAAAAATAAAATAAAATAAAAGTGTCCATATTTTCCTATCCCATTATTAAATGCGTAACAGCCAACGCGCTGGACATCAACGGCCCAGATGCTCCATATTTTTAACTGTCCATTGGGCGTGTCGAATCCCAGCCGTTCAATCACATCCTCGAACAATTCAAACTTTAAAAAGCCTTTTATTTCCAGCTCTTCCGCCAAGATACTGGGCACCAGGCACCCAAAAAACATCCGTTTTTATTTTCACTTTCGCAACGATCGTTGTAACGGAAATTAGATAGTAGAGAATAATAAACAAAGGAAAATTATTTCATGCTGGCTGGACGGTAATTCATATTCATAATTTTCATGTTAGAGATTATATATAATTGGAAATTAAGTCTTAAAATCCATCTCAAAAATAGATTTACTAAGAGGCCAGCATTTCTACATATGCGGGTTTGGCCACATAGATAGAAACCGGTCTATAAACAGATAACCAACTTGCCAAAACTTTTCCATTTATTAATTAGTGGTTTATGTACGGATCTTAAAATTTTTGGTAAAGTACAAGATGCTTCGCTTATAAGTGGAAATTATAAAGAAGGTTGGTCAACCTAGTTTCTTTTTAATTTTTTCAAGATTGCCCATTATTCAACTTGAATTTTGATTTTTTTTTAATAGTTTTTTTGTTAGTAGGGCAGTGCCACAAGTTTTAAGGCACTGCCCTACTAACAAAAAAACATAAAAAATAAAAACTAAACAAAATCAACATTTGGGTTGATCGCAGGACAATTTTGAAAAAAATAAAAAAAAGTGGATTTCCGGATCTTCTTTGTAGTTTCTACATACAAGTGAACCTGAAATTTTAGGGTCTTTACATACAGGATTAGGTATCTATAGAGCCGAGGCTGTAAACAATCAAATTAGAGCCTATTTTTAAATAGGGTCAAGAAATGTGGTTTCAATACTGGGAATCTTTGTGATAGCCTTAAAATATATTTCCATCTTTAATTATAAAATTTAAGTATTAAAAAATAGTGTAGATCGATGAGATCTATAAAAACTTGAAAAACTTGAAAATTGACGATCAAAAAATGCCTTACAGGATGTACTATTTTCAAAAGTTGAAATCTGTTTTTTTTTCATGTCCATGCATTTTGATATTGAGATGATCAATTTGAAGATATTTGAGCATCAAAACAACCTCTTCTATTGAAAATTTTGAGGTAGGCTCCAATTTGATTATTGAATTTTTTGAGGTAGGCTCCAATTTGATTATTGAAATTTTTAAGGTAGGCTCCAATTTGATTATTGAAATTTTTGAGGTAGGCTCCAATTTGATTGTTTAGAACCTTGGTTCTATATAAACTTTTTCCTGTACATAAATCACTCTTTATTACTTGCTAGTTTGCGGCATTGAGCAACCAGCTTTTTAAGCAGTAATCCAAAATTTCTCCACTTTCTTAGTGGAGACCTATTGGCTTGCTTGTTTATTTAATGAAAATAATACTTAAAACGTAATCCAGCAGAAATGTCAAAATTTATAAGTCAATTAATTTTCAGCTTTATTACCGACCATTTGGGTGTCAGAAACTCATAATACGAAACTTAGGGTGGAATACGAGATGCTTTATAACGGTTATCACGTCTGTACTGTATGATAACCGTTATCACGGTAGCTGACAAACTATTATAACGGAGTAATCCCTTTTCAGAAAACCCGCCCAAAATTAGCAAACACGCTTAACACACCATTAAAAACCAGCCCCTCTTTCCTTAAAACCGCCTGCATCTCTGTCTCCCCCACGAAAACCACCCACCCCACCTTCAGAATCACCTCTCTATTTCTCTGCACCGAAACCACCACGCCATCTCCAAAACCACCTCTCTCTCTCTCTCTCTCTAGACGTAGGTTGTAGCCATGCACGCGAAGTCGGACTCGGAGGTGACGAGCCTGGCACCGAGCTCACCTCGTCGGCCGCTTTACTACGTTCAGAGCCCATCGCGCCACGATGGTTCCATCGAGTCGACCCCCATGGCTTCCCCCCACCACTCTCGTGAGCCCTCCGCTGCAACCACCACCGCCCGATTCTCCGGCATCCTCCACCACCATCGCCTTCCTGGCGCACCCTGGAAATCCTACCACGCTATCGAAGACGAGGACGAGGAGGAGAGAGAGCCCTTGCCATTTGCTTGCTATGTTATTCTATTTATCCTGTCTTTCTCTCTGCTCTTCTCTCTCTTCTCCCTCATCTTGTGGGGTTCTAGCCTGCCCTACTCTCCTGATATTAAAATGCAGGTTGATTTAACATCTCTCTCTAAATCCCTTCATGGCCCTTGATGTAATGCATGGTTTTGCTTTATCTGTCTTGGATTCCTTGTTGTTTTTTTCTCCTGGTGTTTCTTTTGCTTTTTCCTCTCGTTGTTTGGGTGGTTTTCTCTCTCTAAATCTTAGGTGTTTTCCCCTTTTCTCTCATGGCGGTTTTATACCCTTCTCCGGGTGTTTAGGTGTTTTTCCCTTTCTCTCTCTTGACTGTATTCTTCTCATTATCTCCCGCGAGTGGTACGGCGTTTTCTTGGTTTCGTTCTTTTTCTCACAGGTCATTTTAGGCTTTTTCCTCCTCGCTCATGGCGCTTTCTTCTCTTCCATGTTTATAGTGTTATTTTTCTTTTTCTCTCACACTCTGTTTTTCGTTTCGTTCTTTTTCTGTAGAGCGTGAGGTTCAGGAGTTTCAATGTCCATGCTGGTTCAGACCCGTCAGGGGTGCCAACCAAGATCCTCTCCATTAACGGTACCGTGAAGCTCTCTTTCAGGAACCCTGCAACTTTCTTCGGTGTTCATGTCACCTCCACTCCTATCATCCTACACTATGACAGCCTCAAGATCGCTTCTGGTGATGTAAGCAAAACTTCTTTCTCAAAATCATCTTTCTCATTTCCATTCATTCTTTCTGTTCCGTTTGTCAAACTTCTAATCTATTGTTCTTTGAATTCAGTTTATTTCCCCTGATTTTTTTTCCATAATTTGATTTGGTATATTTGTAGATGAATAAGTTGCCCCATTTCTCAGAGCTCATTTTCTCTCAATTTTCAGTGATTTCTCCCCTTCACCTTGGTGTTAACCCTCTAAACCATCTTTCTTTGAACTTTGTTTTATTTCCCCTATCTCCACCATTATTAAAGCTGCAATCTTTCTTTCTCTGAATTGGGTGTTTGGGGTCTATTTCCCTCCTTTCCATCAATTTCAAAGATCCAATTTTTCTTTCTTTTGATTTGGGTTTTTGGATGTATTCCCCTTTCTCTACCATTTTTGCAGCTCCAATCTTTATTTCTTTGAATTGGCTTTTATGGCTTTATTTCCCCCTTTTCCACCATTGTTAATGTTGTAAGATACCTTTCTTTGAATTGGTTTGTTTTTTAGATGATAAAGTTTTATCAGTCAAGGAAGAGCCAGAGGCTTGTTCAAACAGTGGTTCAAGGAGATGAGATTCCTCTTTATGGAGGGGGCTCAAACTTGAGCAGCTCAGACCAAGACAATATGAAAGTGAAACTTAACCTAAGCTTTGTGATCAGATCAAGGGCTTATGTTTTGGGGAAACTGGTGAAACCCAAGTTCTATAAAAGGATTCAATGCTCTGTGGTATTGGACAAGAGGAAGCTTGAAAAACCCATCTCTCTCAAGAATTCCTGCACTTACAGGTAGAGAGAGAAACATTAGGCCGTTTGATTTTGGACTTGGGGGAAATCGAATACCCTTCTTTCTCTCAACGATTTAGGCCAGACTCCCCTCACGATTTTGTAGAAAGATAAACATGGTGCTAGTTGATAATGGATTCAGGGGAGTCTTCTTTCTCTCTCTAGACTGTCCTGTTCATAGATTATCCTTTCTCTCTCTAGACTATACTGTTCATAGTTTATCCTATCTCTCTCTAGACTATCATGTTTATAATTCATAAACTAGAGAGAGACAAGATGTCTGGTAATTTTAAAATTCGGACTTTTGAGTGCCCTCCATTTGTGTACCCTGCGTCGCTTGATGGAGAAAGAAACGACATGCTGATCGTGTGCGTCCTCTATCAGTGGACGGTGCAGATATGGGATGAGATGTCGTTACGTCATGATATAAAATCTTGATCGTTTAATCTCACAATGATGGTTTTGCACTTTTTTTTGTTGTTTTCTTTTTTGAATTTTTGTCTTTTTCTTGTTCCCTTGTTTGAAAATTTTGCCGGTTACATTGATGGGGGAATTAAAATGGGGCGGCCCCCGTGCATTTCTAACGTGGTCTCGTTTCATCTTCCCATGAAGAATCAAAGTAAACGCTCTTCACTTCACTTCACTTTTTTAAATGCTTCATGTCATCTTTTTATATGACTTTTTTTTTTTTATATGGAAAAGTTTTATATGGGGGCGCATCCCTACATTTTGTGGCCTCGAGGCATAAATCATCAATTAGAGATGGATGTAATTATGTAAAGGGTGTGGTTTCCATGCGGTTGCAACTGTAAACGATCCCACTACGGAGCACCTTCCAATTTTATCATAATATATAATTTTGATGTAAAATGTTCTTGAGATTATCTCAAAATCTATTTTTATATCTAATTATAAAATTTTAAATTTAAAAAATAGTTAAAATCATGTCAATCTTAAACATATGAAAATCTTGAAAATAGACGGTGTAGATAATATGTTGTAAGATGCACTATTTTTGAAACTCAAAATCTTTTAAATTTTCATAGTCATACTTCTCGATGTGGAGATGATCAATCACAGGGTTTTTCAACATTAAAATAACTTTTTCCCATGGATTTTTGAGGTACATCTGTAGTTTTACATTATAAGATTGCAACCTTATATAAACTTTTTCAATATGAAAATGATGGTGCCACAAAAAAAATAAAAAATAAAATAAAAGATTGAATATATCCTCCAAAAAAATTATTTTTAGTTTTGAAAATATATATGACGAGACTATTTATTTTTTGATACAAAAAGGTTAGAATCATCATTAACCTTTAATTTATAGGATATAATTCTTATAAGGCCTAAGCCTTATGAAAAAAGTAAAGCCTCCATTTAAAACTTGGTCCGGATAACACTTGGGGCATGAGAAACCTTTAGACGGATCTCAAATCCATTTCTAACCCTTAGAAATGAAATTTGTAGCTCATAGAGTAATGCTGATCTCATGGATATGTAAATTCTTGAAAATGGGTGGCAAATAATGTTTTACAATATCTATTTATTTTAGGGCCTGAAATTATATATATATATAGTCAGATGATCGATTTAAAAGGATTCGAAAGTTTTTTGATATTAGTACTATTTTTTATGAGATTTAAGACGTGGCTTTGTTTTTTTTTTAAGGCCTAAGCCTTTTGTAGATCTTTCGGTGTGAGGCCTGGCGTGGCATATTAATTTATAGATGGATGGATGGATGGCTGAGAGGTATTGGTGCATGTGTATTGAATTTTGTTTGTTTTTGTTATAGGATTGTATACAGCGGGATCATTTACCTTTGATAGAAGGTCGTCACAATTCCTTACAATCATTTGAAGTGAAATTTGATAGCTTGGATGTGTTACAAAGTTGAAAAAATTTCTTTTGAAGTTTGATCTTGGTCAATAGAATAATTGCAACCACTCAATTGCACAGCCAATGTTCATGATTAATGTGAGATATCAAAGGTATATGGTCTTATTCTATATTCTCCTTTTGTTATAAAAAAAAGTTTACATACGGTTGCAACCTTAAATGTAGAATTACATATGCACTAAAAAATCCATTGGAAAAGGTTGTTTTAATGTTGAAAAACCCTCTAATCAATCATCTCAACAATGATGGGTATGAATATATGAAAAAAAGTTTTTGAATCCCAAAAATAGTACATCTTGTAACACATCATTTAGACCTTCCATTTTCAAGATTTTCACATGTTTATAGATCTTCTTGATTTTAAGTATTTTTGGAGTTTAAAATTTTATAATTAAATATAAAAATAGATTTTGAGATAATCCTAAATAATTTTGTACATCAAAATTACATGTTGTGACAAAATTTGGAGGTACGCTTTAATTGGATTGTTTAAGGTTGCAACCTTATAGAAACCACACCCTTTGTTATATAGTATAATATAATGGTGATCTTTGAATTTAATATTCCAGTAAAAAAATATTTGTAGTTATGAAACAAAAGAGGAATTTAATAAGGAGAGATATTGAAACGTCGGACATCTCAATATTCCGGTCTAAATTTGGCTTCAAGAACCCCGGACATCTCAATATTCCGCTTTAAATTTGGCTTGAATGAAGGGAACGTTACAAATAACCTAGAGACTTTCTATGCAAATTACCCCTAATCAAAAAAAAATTTACACTTTTTTCTTTAAAATACATTTTCTAACAAATACCTCTCAAGTTAAATAGTTTATTTTTCTAGACAAAAATGCCTTTCCCGTACACCAGAAATCATTTTGGCCAGATTTGACGTGGACTATCACACCCGAGTAGCAATTGTCAGATTGCACCATTGAATTGCTAGACCCCTACATTTTTGCCGGACCGAACTTTGAATTGCCGGACCCCTTACTCCAGAAAAATGAGTAGCGGACCACGCTTTTCAACCGTTGGACCCCTTGTTGCAAATGCCGGAATGCCTCTCTGATCATCGGACCCCTTCTTGTTCCATTAACTTGTACTGTAGGACCGCCAATGTTATTTACCAAACCAATATTACACTTTTGGACAGCCTTAAGAATTAACTAGACCGCTTTTTCATGGAAAAGAGGAGAGAGAAGCATGGTAAATATAAGAGAGGGTAGTTTAGATTTTTATTTTTTATTTTTTTTGGTTGCTAGATAAATGTATTTTGTAAAAAAATGTGCGAAAAAAATTTGGTTGGGGATAACTTGCATAGAAAGTCTAGTCTTGAGAGTTATTTGTAATTTCCCTTAATAAATTGGTACAGGAATGGTATATGAATGTGTTGTACGGCATACAAATTAGGCTTTATTTTATGGTGTAGATTACCTTGTTTTTGGCTTCTAATTTTCCGAAGGCCTACCCGTACATGAAGCTGGCAATGGCCCGGGCTACCCTGGTCCTAGCCCTATCCTTGACCGCCTAACGGATCGTCCTTATCATGGCCTTGGCTCAGGCCCGGCCCATCTATACCCTTGGGCTATGATGGCCTGGTTCTTAGGCCACATTTGATAGTTCAAGCCCTAAATTTTTAGGAGGGGGCCAACGAAACTGGGTTGTACCACCCGGTTCATTGCTACCCCCTAGTACATGGAACCAAGAAAACATTCAACCTTCCCCGTACAAGAAAGTTGCCATTTGACTGAGGTAAAAATTTATATGCCTCTTGGAGATTAGTAGAGATATAGAAAAGCATACAATAAAACAATTTACCTTTGGTGTAAGGTGGTCACAATTAATCTTACCTATTGGATAATAAATTGGATGGTTTCATTTATTCTATTGACCAAGCTCAAACTTCAAAAGAAATTTTTTTGAACTTTGTGATACACTCAAGCTATGAGATTTCACATCGAATGGTTTTAAATAATTGTGACATCCTTGTATCAATAATAAATAGTATTATTGGATACAATACCATTATATATTCACTCACACATATAAACTTTATTTAGGAGTATTTTTGGACCTGAGTTTCGGCATAGAACCTTCTCAGCCTAGTGACTAAGTTTTATAAAGAAAAAAAGTCTTATGCATTCTTGAAATAGTAATAGCTTAAGCTCGACTAATTTTTGGATGTTCAAGTCTAATTATTTGAGGAATTCAAAATTCAATTTTTTTCTAAAATTCTTTTCTAGTGATTTTAGAAAAAGGAAGTTTACGCTAATTAAATATCTATCTCCCTTATGTTGTAAGTTATGCTCACGTCCCCATTTTTCGAATTTTTTTCCAAAATGCCATCAATCGAGACTTTCAAAATTGATGTGAAAATATTAAAAATCGATTCACATATTGAACTTTTGAATCAATTTTTTGTGAACTCGGGTTTGGATTTTGAAATTCTTAAGGTCCATCTATTTGATTGAGTTATTTAGTTAAACTAATGATTCGTTATTGGAACAGATAGTACCAATTAAATGCTTGTGTGAATAATTCCTCGAATTGGTTTCCATCTCCATAAAGAATATAATTGACAACTCATAGTCAACCAATCTTTCCAACCCTGCCTTACCTTGTCCACAATATTCGGTTAATCCAATGATTCGTTATTGGAGCAGATAACATTAATTGAAACCTTGTTTGAAAAATTCCTTGAATTGGTTTGCCATCACCATAAAAAAATATAATTGACAACTCGTAGTTGCAAATTCTTCTTTTCACTGCAACTAATCTTTCCAACCCCGCCTTGCCCCGTCCACCCGAGAACCAACCTTTTTCAAAGTTCGATGTGGTTCGAAAGAATTGGATGCATTAAATAAGGGTTTTGTTAGGCTACACCACTTGGTGGTGTATACCCTTGAATTCCTTAATATTTTTGGATAATTAGGTACTCTTATCTTATAGTGTAGTAATTTTTTGTCTAAGGGTATTTTAAGTAATTAATTAAGGATAAAATATAAATTTCTAATAGAAATAAAAATATTTATTAATAATAGTGGACAATGACATCATTGACATGGTGTATGACATCATTCACAAGATGCATTAATTATTTTAAACTACTATTAAAATGATATTATTTTATTTTAAAAATATCCATTCTACCTTTCTAAATAACAAAAAATTCTCCCACTTGAATATATTCTACACTGTAGGATAAAGGGTATCTAAGTGTCTAAAAATATCGAGCACTTTAAGGGGCTGTTGGGTATCTAAATGTCTAAAAACATCGAGGATTTTAAGGGGCCGTTGGGTATTTAAGTGTCTAAAAATATGGAGGATTAAGTGTCTAAAAATATGAAGGACTTTAAGGGGCTATTTGGATATTTGTATTTCTATTAGGGGGAAATAGATTACAAGGAAATATACTATTTCTAGTGTTTGGGTACGCACATAATGGGCAGGAAATGAAATACATTACCTAAAATTTTCTCAAAAACCATTAAATCTATTCCTATCCCAATAGCTAAAAAATGTATTACGAAAAAAATCTGGTAATATGAATCCA